GAGAACCCTCACTCCGCGCAAGGGGGATGATCGCACCACGTTGTGTTAAAATGGTAAAGCATCCTCGAGGCGGTTGCACAGCTAGACCCTGGGGTTACCCCCCTGCGGAGCAACAAAAAACGGCATGCTGCGAATAGCTTTTGTTTTTTGTTTGTTTGAAGGGGGCACACAGACAGCAGTCCTACTTACTTGAGCAAAGACAAGGAACTGGCAATCAAAAATGCGCGAAGACGGCGGTAGATGCCTCTTCTCAATCTCCAATCACCTGTAATTATGCTATAGCTAGAGAAGTAGCGAAGCCGATTTCCGTTTGGTGGTTGAAAAATCCCGAAACGACGGAAATTTCGGTTGTTGACGCAGCTGGCGCGAATACCGAGGCGAGGGTCAAAAATCGCCTTCGCTACTTCTCTAGCTCTGGTTTCTGCGCACACAGCTAAAAAAAACGATCCCCGATTGACCTAGAAGCCGACGAGTGGCATTGATTACCAGATCACCTCCTATGGCTAAGGGCGGTGGTAAAAACAAGGGTCGCGTCAAGTCCAAAAACAAAACTCTAAAAACTTCATGACTTCTCTTCTCGAGAGAGAAGGATGCACGTTTGCGGACGCAGCGACGGCTGGGCGCGCACGCAAGGCTGCCGAGAAGGCCGACTACCCTACCCTGAAGCGTACGGCCGCTGCTACCCTCGAGAAACTCAAAAAAGCTCAGTTGGCGAAGCGTAGAGAGGCTCGACTCCGCAAATCGGCGGAGCAGGCCGCAGAGGATGAGCGACAACTTTTGGCGCGAGAGCGAGTCCTGCGCGCCGATCTGAAGAAGGAGCTTGGGGAGGAGCAGCGACGTAGAATCGAGGCGGAGCAACGGGCGCAAGCAGCGATCGCACGCGAGCAGGCCTCGGAGCATCAGAGGCAGCAGCAGAGGGCTGCTGATGGAGAGGCGGTGGCGAACGTCCTGACCCAGCTGGGAAACTTGCGGTTGGAGAAAAAAATGCTTCAAGATCAACAGCGCGAGATGGTTGAGATTTTTTGTCCACAAGCGGCAAGCGTGATGGCGGTGCAGCAACAGCAGCACAACGGGAATCCGCTGCTTTCCGCGAAAGACCAGCTCATCCGCACCCGGATGGAGGTAGAGCAAGCGAGGAGGGAGCTGGAGGCGGCGTCGGCGTGGGGAAAGGTTGCCGAGACGAGAAATGCTAATTTGAAGAAAAAGGTGCGTGCGTGCGTGTGTGCTTATATTAATAGCATCGACCAGTGTGTGTGTGCCTTTGCCCTCGTGTGTTTTTGGCTTTGCTATTCCCTTCTAGTGCGACTACTTCGTATGCCTCCGAGTCCTACAGGTTGATAGAACCAACATAAGCAGGACGATACCAAGAGAGGCAGGCGAAGCTGCATGCAGCTGCTATCATCGACAGACTTGGTGTTGAGAGCGAGAAAATACAGCAGGAGCAGCAGCAGCGCGCATTTTTTTTGTTTTCCCGCTCTCACAACCGCCCTGCTGTTTGCCCGTTGCCCTTTTTCTTTTTTTCGGCAACAGAACGGGCGGGTCCGCCGTCGAAGCGGGCGGGTCCGCCGTCGAACCGGTGGGGTCCGCCATCTATGACCGGTCGGGCTGTGGGGTACTGGCTTTTTGTGTGTGCCAGCAGCCTCAGTGAGCGCAGTGACGGGTGTCCACCTCGCGCATTGCTGCGTGAACGCGCTTGACCATATTTGTCCAGTCTGTTCGTGTGTGTTCGTGTGTCTTTTTATTCTGGTTCAAATTCCGAACGTTTTTATTGGTCCAAGAAGGAAAAGCGCATTCTATTTGCCACGAAAAGTTCACCCGGTTTGGGACA